CGGGGGCGGGACGGGGGATCCCCGCGGGCCTGGGCTCCGCCTGAGTCAGGTTTTCCAGGAGGGACGTCGTTGGTTCCAGGGTGGGGCCCGGAACCCGCGCGGCCGCCGAGTCTACACAGACCCGGAACTCGCTTCCGGGCTTGTCTACACTACGCGGCCCCGCCAGGCGCGAGAGGAGGGCTGAGGCCCACGGGTCCCGGAGGAAGCAGGATTTCCCTCCCCTTAAAACCAACTTGAGTCCCGGGAAAGTTAAAAATAGAACGAAATGTCCAAATACGGCCGGCTCGCCTGGGCGGGCGGAGCCTCGGTGCGGTACAAGGGCCTCAGCCTGGGGGTGGGTGAGTCTTCGAGCTCCACGAAAATGTTTTATGGTCCCACACCCCAGGGACAGGGACGACAACGACAACAGGGTGTCCCTGCTTGCTCACTGTGTCCTAGGCTCCTGTGGAGGCCTTAGTTTCCCATTCGTCGCCGACACCCTTCTTCTCCTGGCGTCCGGTGGACCCCTCCCCTCTCCCTCCTCTGAGGGGCCTTCCTTTGGTGCCCTTCACATTTCTCTACTCCCTTTGTCCAGGACGTCCCCTCCCCAGCTCCCAGCCACCGCACCCTCGCTGGGCTCTCAGGGGGCACCAGCCTCCTTTGGCGCGAGGGGGAGGGTCCTAGTTCAGATCCCACCACGGGGGAGGGACGGGTAAATGGCTACTGCTTGCAAAAAGGCTTGGCTTTCTCTTACTGGCAGTGTGACTGTGAGCTAGTCACTTAACTACTTATTTCAGTGCTGGGGATTGAAGTCAGGGCCTTGCACATGCTAGGCAAGCGTTCTGCCACTGAGCTACAGCCCCAACCCCTTGGAATCTGTTCATTTTTAAAATGAGACCAGGAGGGTTGTTGGTTGGGTAGGCTGATAAACGTTAAGGCAGCGCCTAGGGCCTCAACAGCATTACTCTTTCCTTCCTTCTCTAGGTCACACACTTCTTCCACACCGGCTTGGGGACAGTTGTCACACTCCTTATCTAGTGAGGCAAACTCCCCGGGCTTTCCTATCAAATACAAAGAGCTCTTCAGTACGGTCCTAGCCTGGGAGGGAAGGCACAGCCAGGACCCAAAGCCCCCGCGCCCCGCCCTCGGACCTGGGCTCCCTGGGGAAGGGAGAAGGGTGCAGCAGGTGCAGGCTGCAGTCTCTTGGGGAAGATTCATTATTTCGAGAACCACAGCCCGGCCAAGAGCTTAGATGGAGCTGCGGCCCGGCGGACCACGCGGCGGGAGTACCACCTGGGAGATGGAGCCCTCTGGAAGGGGCGAGGGGTAATGAGTGACGCCGGCCTCAACTGGGAGATAGGTGGGAGGCGGGCAGGGCGTAAGGGGGCGCCCTCACTGGCCCCGCTAGGTTTGAAAACCGGAAAGGTGTGAGGAGAGGCTCCGGGAAAGAGGAATGTCTTAGAAGAGCTGGGCAGGGGAGCAGGTCCAGAGACACCTCCCCGTGGGCGGGGGCACCTAGCCCCGCTCCCTCTGGC